GAGGCGATTTCACTTAAGGCCCACGGAAGAGTAAGCACGGTACTCTGACGATTGAAGCGAGTGAGCTTATGAAACGTCAGCACAGCACTTGCCTCTCTTCTTCTTCCTTTTCCGGGAATGATGCACACGATAAAAAATTGATAAAATTGTAGATTATGTTTTCGCAGACGGATAGAACGGAACTAATTCAAATGCGGCACTCTGACGTGACTGAAATATAGTGGGATAAAGTTGAGCATTTATCCACGTAATGTGCTTTAATCATTTATCCGAAGGGAAAAACATTTCAGAATTTAAGTTGCCATGTAATGAGATTGGAAAATTCACCGTACATGCATATGGACGAGTTCAGGCTGACGGTAACCACCGCTTAACATTTCTAAGGTAGCGTGTTTGAGGACTTACTTTGGTTAACTTTACTGATCAATCTGTTTCTTTTGTTTAACAACCGTAGACTTTCTTCAACTGTGTTCTTTTCTCCACGTAGACCTACGTCGTTTTTGCCGCGGTCAGCACTGGAAGCGGCAGAAAATACACGGACTTGCATCCGCACCTTATGTCCACTGGGGTAAGTGCAATGTTTCCTTTGTAGCTTCATATCCCTTAAGTTACTGACTGGATCCCCTTTCCTACAACGCTCCTCCTCACTTGTCTTCATCTCGTCTGTTTAAGATAATCGCCATTCTTGTTCTGCGAAACAGCTCTGAGCTCTTCAGGAGGTATTATAGCAAATTCTTCGTGTGGGTCGGCCAATTTGCCCTTGAGGTGAGTCTTATTGTCAAGTTAGCCGCCTATCATCATCATCATCACCACCATCATCGTCATCATCATCTTCGCAAACAATCTTTCCGAAAATTATACCTGCATTATCTATTCTTCCTTCTTTTAGCTCTTTGTAACACAGTACCACATGTGGATTACAGGGCCCAGCGGTGCAAGTGTAATTGCCTTTATACCAAAGTACAAACCGATCAACTTTGTTCTAACGACAGCCATATTTTTTGGCTTTTGTCGCAGAATCCACGAAATCACGCAGTGGTTGACTTCATTTCTATTGCCCTAGCGACTGTGAACTTTCTCCGTCCTCACCCCCTGTCTCACTCCCGTTTTTCGCTTGTCTGCTAAATTACTTTATATATTTGTTACCTGGCAATTTCGACAGTTTACAGAAACAGAGTTAAACTGTGCATCTGCGTTTTCTTTGTATTTGCGGAGGGAAGGGGAATTCTTAGGAGCCACATGCCCTTCACAGGGCCTAGATTAGGGCACGACAGACGTTATTCGGGCTGTGTTCCTCTAAGAAATGCTTATCATGCAGGG